CAATTGCTTCCCTGCTGAAGGGGAGACAAACCAAGCCGCAGCATTCTGGAGGAGCCCTGCTACTCACCATTAGCCCCACCGCGTGCCTCCATCATGGCTAGAACCCTGTGGGAGCAGCAGTGCTGGGGCCATGCACCTTGTAAGGCTTTGGATTCTTGTGGGAAGGAGGGATGAGGCAAGTGCCTGCCCTGCTACAGGGAACCAAAGATGTGGCAGGAAACAGGGTTTTGTTATGAGCCCCACAAAGCTGCTCTGTTGCCAGCCAATGCCTGAAGGCAGCCCCTCTCCTCATTTAGGGCAAGGGGAGACAACTCTGCCTGTGAGGCTGCAGCCAGGAGCTATGTTACAGCCCCAGTCCTGCAACAAGGGCTGGGACCCATCCACCTTCCAGCTCTTCCCAGCTTCTTACAGCAGGCTTGTCCTCTTTCCAGCTCTGCTCCTCTGGTGCTAGTAGCCAGGCAAGGCTAAAAAGGGAAAGGATATCCCACCAGGCGCTCTGCTCCTCTGAGGTAGCACAGAGCTGCTCCATGGCTGAGGCGAAGCTGGATTTTGGCACTCCAAAGACAAGCAGCTGGGGCAGTAGGACAGAGAGCTGCAGGGTGGGACAGCCTGGCCGCCTGGCCTTGCTGCCAGCAGGTCCCACAGGGAGAGCACAGCCCCGATTACACCATCTGGCTGCACAACAGGGGCAAAAGCCAGGTTCACACAGCCAGAGACCAGACACCCCCAGCCTGGCCCCATCCAGCAAGGGGGGGCAGTAGTCCCCACTGCTGCTCTGCACCCCAAGCCTCCCAAACACACTGTGGGACCATGCAGGGAGATGCAGCGTGTTCTCCAGCTGAGCCCCTGCTATTTGTGGTTAGCTCAAGGCCACACAGATAAACCTGTGCAAGGAAATCAAGGAAGCAGCAAGGTATGGAGCAGGGGTTTACACCTCAGGGCAGCAGAGGACCAGTCCAGAAAACCATCATAGAATGAAGCACCCCATAAGGGCAGGGGGGAAGAAGTGCAGTTCTGCCCTTAGCAGCCCCAGAAAAACACAGCCACAAAGGGGAGCTGCAGTCCCCCCCAGAACCATCTCTGGGTGCTGTGCACCCAACCAGTTCCCCAGCCAGAGAAGGGCTTGCAGGGATGCTGTAGTCACACTGGAGCAAAGCCTGTGCTAGCCAGGACCGAGCTATGCTGCATCCCACTGAGCCCATCAAGCAGCAGCTTTACTGAGTCTTGGCCATGTCCTTTTTTACCATGTCTCAGCAGCACAGGCAGTGGGCTGGGGGGTCCTGTGCTGGCATGGCCAACAAGGTCCCAGCCAGGCCGAGGGGGACAGCAGGGCCACAGCAAGCGCTAAATGCAGGCAGGGCTCTGGCACCCCAGCACAGTCTTCTTTTTATTTCAACTTAGTAGTGCTTGGTTACAGTTTAGTGAAGAACAAATAGGTACATTCATTGGCCACAGCTTCCTGTGGCAGCCAGCTGCTGCCTGACTGCAAAGCCAAAACACTGTTAAACCATACCAAAAAAAAAAAAAAATAAAGAAAAAAGAAAAAAGAAAAAAAAGGAAAAAAAATAAAAGAGTTTAATGAAAGGCAACTATGCATTAAAAAAGTCATTGAACTTCTCAGCTATAAATTACTTCAGTAAAACACAGGACTGGCCCCAGAAGGAGCAGTCAGAGTTTTGAAATTAACGGCCATCCGTACAAATGAGTAAAACCAAACCACTTTGCCAGTCACTCACGAGTACATTAGCAACGCGACTCACTGCCCCGACCTGCCCTCCTTATGCCAGGAAGATCGTAGTGTTGTTGTGTGCTTCAGTGCAATATGAACAATGAGCCTGTAGCCCTTTAATTTTTATTTTAATTTTTTTTTTGCACTACACTCCTTTCCCTCCAAGGAAAAACTTAAAGTGCTCCTAGTGCTTTGGAATTTAAGCAAAAACTGGGGCCACTAGCGTCACTTACTGTCTTTGGTGACTTACGGGAGAAGAAAGAAGGGCAATGCACCAAGTCCAGGTCCTTCATCAGCTCTGCCATAAGTCAAGCAGTGATTGAGAGGGAGCAGTCTGTTTGGAGGCAAGGGGACAGGTCCCTCAAGCTACATACAGTGGAGCAGCCAGGAGAACCACAGCTGGTCCAAACACTAGAGCAAGAGGGAGATGCTGGAAGTTGTCACCTCAGATTCTTCTTCAGAAAGAAGCAGTGCCTGCCCTTTTATGTGGGCCAGCAAGAGCGAGGCAGGTCAGCAGGGAGAGGCCCATCAGCCAGCACAGACCACACAGAGGGACAGGTGACATCTACCTGGGTACAAGCAAGGTGGGTGATCAGTGACCAGGCACTACTAGCAAGCACAGGGCAGGTGAGAAGCGAGGGGAGGCAGGGGCTGCCCTGGTGCTTGGGGTTTCTCTCACTCACAGCTGCAGACAGAGGCTGCCACGGGATTCCTCCAGCAGCAAACCCCAGTGCCTCACAGCTAGCACCACTCCACTCCATGCACAGCCAAGTCCTTCACCCAGCCAGTTCCTCCATGTCAGACTGGGGTTTGAAGAGCAGGAGCAGCTTTAGGTAGGTTAAAAGCAGTTCCAGTTTGGGTTGTCACTAGAGGCCAGAGCAGCTGCCCTCCCTGGGCCAGAGCCTCCATCTGAGTGTGACCAAAGCAGTTTTGCTCATCCCTACACCAGGCTCAGGGACAGGCCAGGAATAACATTAATAACATCAAGCCTCATCTCCAAGAGCCTGATGGAGCTAGAATCCAGGTCAAACTTTGGCTATTTTGGTTAGAGAGACAGAGAATCCTCCACCCAGACTGACCCAGCACACTCCAACCCTCTGCACACCACTAAGCACTGCTGACATAGCTACTGCAGCAGTGGGAGGACTCAAGGCCCCATAGAGGAGAAAGCAGAGAGCTCTGGGATCAGAGCTCTGCAGCATCTGCCACTTCCCTCTGCAAGCCTACAGACACCTCCTGCACCTCCCGGGGACCTCACCAGTTCACATTCACTTCAGGTTAAAACTCCTGGTGAAACACAATTTAATACTGAGGGGGAGGAAAAGGGGAGCCCCACTGTGGGTGGAGAGGAGGGGGAGCAAAACTGCTCCCACCATCCAGCAGTTCAAGCAGCCCTGGTTTTACACGTGCTTTGGGCCACACATTCCTGCACACACACTCTTGCTGAGCCAGCTCTAAGCTTTCCCTGAGGGCAGCAGCCTACAAAGTTTTGCCCCCTCACTTGACAGCAGCTACTGTCTGAGCCAGCCCTCTTCCTTTGCCATAAGCTAGTGGGTTGATTAACAACATGGTGATCATAATGCCACTAGGAACACTTGACCTCATCCTCACAGGCCTCTGCTAGGATGTGCTTCGAGCTCAGCTTTGAATCCACAGTCCTAGGTAGGACAGTTCAGCAACCAGGTGAAACTAGGACCAGCAGTGGGAGGCAAAACCCCACTACGCCTGGTCACACCAGCCCTGCCAGGTGTGAATATGGCACAGTATGCTTCAACACTCACCGCAGGAGGCCCTGCCCACAGCATGCTCAGTAAACAGAGCTTCATGCTCCCAAGTGAGTCAGGATGCAGAGTACTTCACAGAACACGTCTTTGCAGGAAGACAGTGCCTCTCCCAGCTATGGATGTGCAATTAAAAGAGTAACTAGAACAGTCTCAGACCAAGCAAAGTCTGAGCAAGATTCGTTCCTTCCAAGTGTGCAGATAAAAGTGCAAATATGCATTTGATGTTTCTTTTCTAGTGAGGAAGCTCTGGTGCATTTAGCTGCCAACATCTTGAAGACCAGACCAAGAAAAAGCTTCCAGAAGGTTCAGCTTCACTTTGCTACATGGTACCTTAAAGTCACAGTTCTCTTGCTTACTGCCTGCAGCCATAGGCTCAGTCCTGCTCACAGCTGCAGCAGGTAGTGGAATGTTTGTGTCGATGAGTTAGATGCTTCAGGAAGAAGGAAAGAGAAAACCAGGTTACAATCCTATACATGAATGCCACTTCTGGGAAGAGAGGGACCTTGCAGCCTCTTCAGTTCTGTGGTGCAGGGTATGGGCTATGGTGATTATTCATCTCCGAGCTGCCTGCAGCAATGAGCAAGGGGGCACTGTCTGTAGCAGTCACGCTGAGCTGGGGACCCACCATGTAGCTGTCATTCCCAGCCAGGGACCCATAGCAGCCCGAGCACTGAGGGGTGGCCAAGCTGGGAAGAGAGACAGAAAAACCAGACATGGACTCTTAGAGGTGAGTTATTTGACTGTGGTAGTCTCAGCTGCTAGGAAAGATTGCTGCTCCCAGCATGGAGCAGGGTATCCAAGTCTGCAGAATCAGGCTATGCCATGCAGGTCAGGTACCTGTTGCATCAAAGCCAGTTCCAAAAGCAATACCAGCCCTACAATACTGGTTAAGAGGAGCCAGAACCTCTGAACCCCTCACTAAACCCCCGCACAGATGGAGTTCAGGGTCCTAAGCAGCAAGTGGAGGGC